AAATAAGCCGAAACTGGTTTGGCTCAGTGGATAGAGCGTCGGTCTGTGGACTGAAAGGTCCCAGGTTCGATTCTGGTCAAGGGCATGTACATTGGTTGCGGGCACATCCCCGGTAGAGAGTGTGCAGGAGGCAGCTGGTCAATGTTTCTTTCTCATCGATGTTTCTAGCTTTCTATCCCTCTCCCTTTCTCTCTGTGGAAAATCAATAAAATATATTTTAAAAAAGAAAAAAAAAAGAATCAACCAACAAATCATAACTAAGTAGAACAACAAGTAGATGTTTCTCTTAAAAATATATATATATATTAAATATATATAAATATTAAATAATTATTACCATCCCCTTTTTTACCCTGATTAAACTTAACCCTTTCAGGAAAGACTTTTACATCTCTTTAAAATACCACACAATGTTGAGATCTCAAAGAATATGAAAGAAAGGTTTGTGGTGAGTAGCTCTTACCTTTAACTAAACTGAATACTTGTTCTGCATATGGGGTAGATATGGCCATAGGAAAAGAAAGGAGAGAGAACACTTTATATCAGTGTTTTCAACCTTTTTTGGGCAAAGGCACACTTGTTTCATGAAAAAAATCACGAGGCACACCACCATTAGAAAATGTTAAAAAAAATTTAACTCTGTGCCTATATTGACTATATATAAAGTAATTCTCTTGAATAGGAATCAAATAAACACAAAGAAAGTATTTTATAATTACTTTATTATGAAATATTAAGTAAACAAAATAGTGAAAAATTATAAAATTCTTGTCTTGTCTGCACCTACGGCACACCAGGCAACATCTAGTGTGCCGCGGAACAGCGGTTGAAAAACGCTGCTTTATATGTTCAAGTCTATTTCTAACAGAGGAGGAGATCTTAATGTCCAAGTAGCAGATCTTAAGGTCTAAAGCCACAAATACATCTTTTCCTCCTCTTCCTGGGCTTTCATTTAAACTAAGGAAAATTATCCAGTTTATTCTCTGAAGTCTGAGCCCTTGGTCAGAAATTTAGAAGTTTTAACTTTTTTGACAATTCCATGCGGTTACCTTATAAGGATATCAAGATTAAAATGTTCAACCAGAGATCAGTCACCTTCACCAAACTCCCCATCAGTATTTATCCCAACTACTTGCCCAGCTACTCGCCCAAATGTTATGCTTCACTCCTGCCTTTTCTTCAATCCTCAATGTCCAGTTCATGAGTAAATCATGTCTATTTCACCCCTAAATACACCTTCACAAAAAAAATCTACCTGTTTCTAAATCCATCTGCTACAATCTATCTCTGCTGCTACCAGTCTAGCTGAACCATCATCTGCTCTGGACAACAACAATTTGCTCTCCTTCCACTTCCACCCCTTCTATCTATCTCCACGGGGAAGTCAGAGTGATAGCACTGCTTATTGAAATCCTTCCAAAACCACCCCAACTAAACCTATTCTTTACCATGGCCCACAGTCACCACCATTTTCTCATTCACTCTTCTTCAGTGTTAGGAAGTGTTCATCAAAATATACAACTTTAAAAAGTTGATTTCCAAGAGAATGCACCATCACCCTCACTGGGCCACTGATGAAGGTACTACAGAAATGCCAAGTAGTTTCAAGTTCCAAGAAATGAATCACAGGAGTTTTCTTGCTTTGGGTTATTACATGCTTCATTTATCACAACACTATAGAGGCCAGTGTCAGAGAGAGGTCTCAACTCTGTAGTTAAGGTGCTGGTTAAGGTATGTTCTTTGAGACTCTCTACTCTGAGTCCTTTGTATTCTACAAGAGATTACTGGCAAAGAGCCAGGACAAAACACTAAGTAGTTACCATAAACTAATGATTTATTGTTTCTTCCTCCAACACCCGATAATCCGATTGTTTTCCTGAATTTAATTTGTTTTCCTGCTTCCTAGATTTTGTCAGTAGGACAATGGTGGTTGTTTTAGTGTACGTCTTTCTGGCATCTAGGAATTCTTTTGTGAGGCTGAGAGCAGCAGATCTTAAGGTCCAAGGTTTCAGACATCTGTTTTTAAATGCAAATGTGAGACTCTTGCATCTAGCCTTTCTAGTCCCTCCCCATCCCATCACAGAATCAGAATTTTAAAGAAATGTTCTACTTTTTTAAATGATTTCATCACAATAGGTTAATTCTTGTTTATTCTGGCTATTTATCGTCTGCCTTCCCTGACTTCTAAAGTATTTAATTAAATTAAATATGCTCAATCTCCCATTCCTCAGCTATCACAAAGCCTAAAATGATATGGTCACCTTCTCTTAAGATATCACCTTACTAATCAATTCTTTTTTGTGGCTTGGAATGAAATATTACCAAATTTCCAGTGGTCATTGTCCCTATAATTTGAGAGATGTAGAAGTTTTCTACACATTTATGTATATAATTAAAAAGTGCATTCTTTCCCTGAGATCACAGTGAAATAAATGCCTTAAAAATCTTTAATTTTTGAAAAAAAGTTTGTCATCCCAATCCTTCTTTTTCTTAAAAACAAAACAAAAAACAAAACACAAAAAAACTCATGTCTCTATTTTTTATAATTTACTGCTTTTTTAAAATCTCTGCTTCTTCCACTTAAATAATCTTATGGTCTCCCAATTGTGCCTTAGTCTCAGTATCCAAATATCTTTATGTTGTGCCTCTTAGAAGCTGAACTTTCCTAATATAAAGCATTTTGTGTTCCTCTTTCTGATTGGCAACTTACAGAGCAAATAAACTTTGATTTCTGTTTAGCTCATGAGGAAAATCAATGAGGACACTGGCAATTTCCTTTACAAATTACTCAGAGAGGCCTTGAGACATTGAGACATATACAGGAGTTGGCAAAAGTAGGTCTACAGTTGTTCCTATGGAAAAAGACACGTAGGATATGATGATTATAATAGCTTTAATAACTCAAAAGAATGTCACAATGCAACTGTAAACCTACTTTTGCCCACCACTATATAAATAAGCTTTGAGAATAATTAGTTTAACCTTATATGCAGATTTACAATTTTAACTAAGGCAGTATTTTACAAAACACTAGTTGATATGCATAATTTTGAAAATACCATTAGGTGTTTAAAAAACAAACCTCATTTTGAAAGGCAACCATTAGATCTTAGCAAGGCAGAGGGAGCATTGCTAAATATCAAGTTCTTCCCATATTAAGTAACGTTTTTAGTAATAAAATATTCTGTCATCAACTTTTATTTATTGGAACATTTTAATCTAATAAATTGAAACATAGAATCCAATTCATAGGAAGGATTATGGGAGCCATGACTGTATATTTACAATGTACTTGGCATCGTAATTAGATTGCATCAAATGCACACAAAAAGTGAATACCATTTTAAAAAATATATTTTTATTTATTTCAGAGAGAAAGGGAGATGGAGAGAGAGATAGAAACATCAATAATGTGAGAGAATCATTGATCGGCTGCCTCCTGCTCACCCTACACTGGGAATCAAGCCCGCAACCAGGCATGTGCCCCAACTGGGAATCAAGCTGTGACCTACTGGTTCATAGACAGATGTTCAACCACTGAATCGCATCATTGGGGTAAATAAATATTGTTTTATTATATCTCTGTCATTGCAAAGGAAATAGAGAAGCTCATTGCAAGTTATAGTTACTTAATTTGGAGAGAAGAAATATCTTTCTTAGAAGACATTGGGAAGAAGAAAATAATTTTCTATTGTTCTGTTGCCAAATAGATGAAAAGAGAGACCATGTTTCATTTCAACATATCTTCTGAAAAAAATGGGGTCATTTAAAAAAAACTCATAAAGAAAACAGCTTATTTTAATTCTGGAAGCTCAGCATAGCCTAAAATTGTGGTATTAAATAAGCTTTCTTTTTTATTGACCTGTGGCTGCCCAAAATAATATATTTAACTCAGAGTACAGCAATATTGGCACTCCCATATAATACTTGTGAAATACAAGTATTTTAGTATACATTTTGCTGATGGGAAATTTAGCAATACATTTCAATATTTACAGCTATTTGAGCAGCAATTCCAATTCTAAGAATTTATACTAAGAAAATGACACAAATATAAAATTATATATGTGCATGTATATGTGTGGGCACGTGTATATATTGTATAAACACATATACATGTATATGTACATATATTTATAACATTCATTACATGAATGTTTATTATTGTGCTAATCCTAATAGTAAGTATATTATTATGGTACGTCCATACAATGGAGTATTGTGCCATCATTTAAAATTACTGTATAGCCTGGCTGGCATGACTCAGTGATTGAGCATCAACTTATGAACCAGAAGGTCACAGTTTGATTCCTGGTCAGGGCATGTGCTTGGGTTGTGGGCTGGATCCCCAGTGTGGGGCATGCAGGAGGCAGCTGATCAATGATTCTCTCTCATCATTGATGTTTCTCTCTCCCTCCCTCTTCCTTCCACTCTGAAATCAATAAAAATATTTTTAAAAGTAAATAAATAATAGAGTTACTGTATAGATTTACTATATCTATGTATTTGATAGATTTCTAAATGTAACACCATCTATAAATGTAAAATTCTATAGTGTATCAGAGTATTATTGATGTTTAAATAACTGGGGGTTATAACTATAAATATATGATATCATTGGTTTGCAAATTTTTTTTCTTTTTTTAACTTATCTTTGCTGTTGAGAGTATTATAGATGTCACCCGTACTGGCCCCATTGACCTGGTTTCCAACCCTCCCTAGGTCTTCATCACACTATTGTCTGTGTTCATCAATTTTGCATATGTGCAAACTGTTTTTGTTTATCAATTTTTATGTTTTACAAATGTTTCTGCCTTGGTCATTACTCAAAAATCAGTTATGAATAATAAGTACTAGTGAAAAAGATCTGACAAAAACTAACGATGGTATATATATATATATATATATATATATATATATATATATATATAAAATACACACACACACACACACATATTTGGGCTAATTAATATATTTGTATGTCTGTTGTGTGCACTTACCTTTGGTAAGGAAGCTCGGGATCCTGAACTCTGTGTGGTCATAGTCAGCACAGTAGTTATTCCCAAAGCTACCCTGGCTGGAGCAGCATCCATATTGATCCAGAATGAAACCCATGACAGAATAACAATCAGGAGACTGGGAATATACATCTGGATCAGATAGTATCCCATTTGTCGTTCAAGATGAAATCGCACTTCTATGCATGTAAACTTTCCTAATTGATTGCAAAATAAAGACAGTAATTGGTAAAAGTAGGTCTTTGTTTTGGCATCACATCTTGCAGGTTTCCCCCATAATTTTGACCTAAAATTTTCCATTACAACAAAAAGGGATCCTAAATCATATATGCAAATCCATTTCTGAAAAGTATTTTTCTTATTTTTCTGCTAGCATCTAGAAGAAGAGAATGTCGCTTCTAGATGCTAGGAAGCGAAATAGTATAGTATTCTTATTACTTTCAGGAAATAGTCTAGTATTCTTATTACTTCACACTTGATTAACACTGCATACTTGTCAAACTACTGAAAGGTCCATTATTTCACTTGATTCTAACAAATACCTCTGAGATTGATAAGAGAAATTACTCAGTGACTGTGTTGTTGTTTTCTTGTTCATTGACTGTTTCTGGTGCTTTCAAGTATTTATTTAGAGTCAGGTACTACTATTTGTTCCAGAAGCCTTTACATTGACTTTAAAGTCAGTGCTAAAGAATAAATACAATTAAAGCTGAATAGTTCCTTAAATGCAATATCTGTAATTTATTTTATGCATTGATAGTTTAGAAACTATTAATGCTAACAAATAGGAAAACATATTATTTCCCATTGATAACTTCAAACATAACTTAAGAACACACCTAATAAAAAGAAACCTAAGATACATTTGTTCTATATATTCATGCCTTTGTGTCTCTATTAGAGTAATTAATAGAGGCATAAATTGTGGTTTAATTAAACATTTTGTTGACATTTATGCTTCTCCCCTGGTTCTATTCCCTACTCTATTGCCATGTTACCTCTCCTTAAAATAGTTGTTTATCTGAACCATCTAACTCTTGGTTTTATTCTTTCCGTATTCAAACTATTTTAAGAAGGATAAGGTTAAGGAGTTAATACACTGGTATTTCTTTAAGAGACATTCTCTAATCTTATTATAAGAGAAAGAATCAAAGAGCAGAGCTGGGAAAATTGCTAGTATATATATTGCTAGTGTAGGGTTCAGTACAAAATTTCTATTATTGTGACCTGAGCCACATGCTCCAGAATTGCATGGTCTGGGCTGCAGGAAGAAGGGATGGATGAGATTCCAGAGCTTAAAGTTTTAACAGAGTTTCATAAACTCTGGGAAAGTTGGATTCCTCATTTAAGTGTTTAGTAGTCAGAAATATATATGTGCCAGCTACACATGATCCTTTTATCAATTTATCAAATACATACAGAATGCAGAACTACTCTTGAAGTATATGAAAATACTTTAGATGTTTAAAACTCTTAAAATATAATTTTAAAAGTTTTTTCTTTAAAATAATGAAATAAAATAAAGCAAGGATAATAAGGCATTTTCATGATATAACTGTTAAACAATTCAAGTAATCTCATGGTATAATCAGCAACAATTGCTAACCATTTGGGTACTTTGAATACATTCTTTACAGTTCATATGATTTTCAAGAAAAAGAAGCCCTCATTGTGAGGATATGTTTAACAGGGTGACTATAGTTGGTAACATCGTACTGTACAACTGAAATTTGCTAGGAGTCTAAAACTTAAATGTTTTTGCATGCACACATCAAGTAAATATAGGAGGTGATGAATATGTTAATGAACTCAATGGGAGAATCATTTCACAGTGTATACTTATATCAAATCATCACGTTATACACTAATGATCTTATAATTTTAGTCAATTATCCTTCAACAAAATTGGAAGGGAAGCATTTTTGCTGATATATACCTAAAGGAAAATTTTCCTGTTTAGATTAAAATGGTTCCTCTCCCCCTTCTTCCTAGGGTGGACAGGCTTCTTAATATTCCCAGATGAACAGACAAATTTATCCACTCTATTATTTCCCTCAGTAAATATTTACTGAGCATCTGTGTACTTCAGCAGATCCTAGAAATACAGAAGTGGATACAATCCTTAACTTTATTAATGTATGGTAATGAGAGAAACAAATAACATATAGGTACACATGTCAGTTGAAGGTATAATTCCAGACAATGAGAGCAGGAGGAGGAAGGGAGTAGATTTGGGTGTTTAACATGTGCTGGTGATGAAGAGTCATTGGAAGAGCAGCCCTGAAGTATGTGAGAGTACAGGTTTGGGTTAATTTGGGGAAAGAGGCTTGGGAATAGAAGAAAGAGTAAGTACAAAGGACCTGAAGCAGGGATGAGTGTGGTGAATATAAGAAAGTGATCCAGTGTAACCATGTTCAGAGCGAGGCAAAGAGAAGCAGAAGAGGGTCTGGGCCAAGTGACACCACCAAGTTTGTGCCGCCTTGTTACAGCAGCCTGCAGAAACAACCCACCACCCAAAACCTGCAGAAACAACCCACCACCCAAAACCTGCAGAAACAACCCACCACCCAAAACCTGCAGAAACAACCCACCACCCAAAACCAACCCTAGATGCTTCTTAGTATTTTTCGGAAAGTTCTTTGTCATTCAAACTGCCCCTAGAGGGTTGAGCAAGGACACTGGTGTTGTCCTGTCTGCCCGTTGTTGTCTTGTAGAGGTGTTCAACTTGAACTCTCTGCTAAATGAATATGAGCCTCCCTCCTGAGGAACTGTAATAAGGGGTGAGAAAAGGGCAGCAACTTTCTCACCTGATGGTGAATGGGTTAAGAAGTAAAAAAGATTAAAGGCCTTTATAGTAAAAAGTCAGATCACAGTTCTGGGAAATGCTGAGCCCAAGAAGAATCAGTTATTGTAATAAAGTGATAAAGACAGCCCTGATGAAGGGGGGGGGATGCATTAACCACACAGGAGGGATGGAGGACAATTTAACAGAATGTGTAGGAATAGATTAGACAGTTAGTATAGATATTATGGAATAAACTGTATCAGTTGAGAGAGGTGAGCAGATCTCATGAATGTACTGAATCTATCACTTCTTTATGTGAATAACTATCTTTGGCTTCTATCCTCAAAGGCAAAAGATACTGTGTCTGTGTGAATAGTAGGTGCTTAAGTAACCATACCTTAAATGCATAAAATTGTGGCCAAAACTTTAAGCAACTGATGTCTTAAAAATTTTTTAAAAGCATTTTTTTTCCTTTTGTTAACAAACACAATGTTTTACATCCCAAGAAGCGTTAAAAGTAAATTGTATTATTCACATAGAAATTAAAGAACTTTTTTTGGAAACATCATTACTATGTAATTATGAGTTTTTCACACAAACATATTTAAAATGTAATTAAACACCAAACATTTCTTTGGTCCCATACAAACTGGTTATATAACAAAAAAGCACCTCTAACTTTCCATATTCTGTTCCATTACTATGGAAAACATTGAGCTATAAATAGTAAAAATAATTAACCTAGCACCATAATTAAGAAGCATCTAACTACCATAAAACCACAAGTTGTAATGCAGCATACCTGTGTTGTAATGTTTAGTGCAGTATCGTAAATCTTTCTCTTCTTTCAACAGAAATTGGGGCAAAGTGAGTCCTTCTGCCACTTGTACAGGTGCCTCATCTTGCCATTCAAAAATGAGGTCATTCATTGTGTATCCAACTATAGGCAAAGCATAATAAATAAATAAAATATATATAGCATTAAAGGGCATTCAAAGAGATGAAAAAAGCACACACTCTACTTGTACTACTTGTACAGTTTACAGTACATGGAATGGGAAGACCAAACACTGTCATCTTAACTCTATCCATTGAACTACTCAATCTCACAAAATTCTACTGAAATCTATTCATATAGAATACTTATCAAATAATGTAATAAAGTGTAGTAAGCTACTAATAAGTACAACATACATATACATTCTTTCCTTGGTATGGGTAACTACTGGATTAATTCAACAATTCATTTTGGTTCTACTCCATTGGATTTCTGCTCACCATCTCTCAAATTATTCAGGACTTTTTCCAACTGAAATGGAAATTGTCACAGGTTAGGGAATAATCTCAGCTATAACAATAAGAGGGTGGGGTAGAGAAGTACCAGAGCTGATACCTTCCTTCGTTTAATAATTAACTATTTTAGTTTATGGTAGGTTCTAAGTCCCAAAATGAAGAAAATAATATTTTAAATAGAAATGTCTGCTATTCAGAAAAAAATCAGAGTACAAAGAAAATCCACAGGAAGAAACTCTTACACTTACAAAGAGTTCAGGAGAGAATGAACTAATGTATTTTGCAATAAAGAGGCACCTTCTAGCAAATTAAATTTCACATTTCTATTGGAGAATTACTTAAGAAAGAGCAGAATTGTATATTTTCCTTCCTTCTGAGTGAGAACTTAATTAAATGTACATTTGGAAGCTGCTGCAGAGAGAGCTTGAAGTCAATGGAATCATAGGGGAGTCTTGTTACAATGCACAACCACCACCGAGGCAGAAAGAGAGAAGCAGCAGATCTGGTCTCCAAACTAAGTCAAGTGTTCAAGTAAATAAAGCAGAAGGTCTAGGTCCAAGAAGCAAGGGAAACTATCCCCAAGAAATTTTCTTGTAGCTTGTATTGTAAGGGAGAGGCCATAAGCATGATTAAAGTCAGTAGGCTTGGTGCACATTAGGCCAAACAGAATAATGGGTAAGGGAGGGAACTGATTACCTTTCCTCCTTCCTCCAATATCTGGAAAAGAATAGGTCTAGCTGTGGTGGGAGTGGCTTAATTCAGAGACCCAACTGCACCCACTGACTCTAGGGAATACCTGGCATTGGCCACCCACCTAGCAATGGGGATGGTAGTCACAAGGACATCAGTGATTAGAGGATCTCTTTAGATTATCTGGATTTTGCTGTCAAATTTAATAGCAGTACTACCATCAGTGTAATAGATCCTTCATGGAGCATGCACTACTTGGTAGAGTTTGTAAAATCATCCAGATTGCAGGGGTCCATCTGAATTCTGGTTCCAGAGAGATGTGGAAGATAGAGAGTCTGCAAGACTATGCTCTGGACCTCTGGATGTAGCACAGCAAGGACTTGATGGACTCACTCATACTGGAATACATTTCATTGAACCCTTCAAGTAATGATTTGGTTGCTAATCATAGAAGGTTTTACTTATAAATCCTTTGATGTATTTATTATAAATACTATCTTACATAGAGAGAAAATAGATGCACATTTCTCAAGGATCAAAAGATAGTAAAATAGGCACCAATTCTTATTTGCTTCATGTACCTTTATCCTTCCATACCTGAAATATCTAAAGACACAATATGTGCAGTTTTGTCCCAAGTTAGACAGATAAATGGAGAAATGAACTGAACCTCATTTTGTTTTTACATTCTACATTTTTCTTAAGCTTCTGTGAAAAAAAAAACTCACCCTCTGAAATTGCTTCAAAAACAAACTTTCATTAGTCTCCAATGCCATTAATAGGGCAGCATATTTAGCTTGCTCTTGTATTAAATAATCATCCACATGAAATGATTAAGGTCTGGGCATTTCGTAATCAAACTATGCTTCTTCATTATGGCCCATACTATATTTAAGTTGGAAATCATTATGGTCCGTACTATATTTAAGAGAAAAAAATAGTACTATGGCATGTTTAAGGGATAATTCATTATTCTGAGCAACTTACTAGATATCCAAGGAAAATAACTAAATGAGAATTTTACTTCAATAGACCTTCAAACGTAGCTTAAAAAAATATATCAATACTCTTCTACACAGTTCAAAGTGTTTTAGCAACCTTACACTTTCGGCTGACAGACTTTTATACAAGTCTGAGATTGTTAAGGAGAACAGACTGGCTAAGCTAAGGAGATCAATGTTGTGAGTTGAATTGCCTTGTACTGTAATAAGCTTCATACCAAAAGGAACTTTATTCAGGGAACATTAATTTTAACTTCAGCTAGAAATCTCATAGGGCAGCTGCAGTGAAACATGTAAATGAATAGCTTGATGCAACCAATAACTGCTTCTTCAACAAGTATTTATTGAGCACCAACTGCATGTAAGGCATCCGGCTGGGCATCAGGGAATGGGAGGTCTTGTTGCCAGGTAGAAAATAAGTGACATGGGAGAGGTACAAAGTGGTGTGTGCCTTGAGAAGGCGGAATCTATCATGCCCACTTGAGTTACATCTTAAGAAAAGGCAGGACCCCTGTATCAAGAACGTGAGAAGGCAAAGGAAATAGCATCATCCATTGAAAGAAACTGCGAACTCCCAAGGTTTATAACAGATCTAGCAATCACTTCATTGGTCTGGAGCCAGTTTGCATAGAGGAGCATAGGGGATGAAGAGATACATTAAAGTCAGGTGGTGTCAAGTTTAAATTCAAGGTTGAAAGTTCAATCTTTAAAAATTCCCCTGTGGGCAATGATACACAATTGAATCTCTTGAGCAGGGAAGTGACGTGACAAGAATTGTGCTTTAGAAACATTATTCCAGCAGGATCCTTTCATGGAATTCACAAGGTCTGAAGTGCTTTATAATCACAAGACATAATTTACGCTTTTCACTGTGTTGACGTTTGCCCAGATGGTGAACAAACAATGGTGGGTAAAAGTTCTGGTGCGCTAGCACAGTCAAAGGCAGTGGCACCAAACTGCTGGCGGTGATTGTGCTCCCTAGCTCCATAGATCACAGCAAGAACAATGCACTTCTATTTAAGAATGTTCTTGATCCTTGATGGATAATTTTTATCAAATTTTGACCCTTTATATAAATAACTTTCACAATTCTGTGTGTCAAAATCGGAAATGCGTAGCAAGCAAGTCAGCTGCCTACTGTACTATACTAATTCTTTTAAGGAAAAGCACAGGCATGATTGATTTGCAGGGTAAACCAGCTGTTTTTTTTTGTTGTTGTTGTTGTTTTGAAACATCATTTTCACTTCAAAACAAAACAAAACACAAAACATGCCATGCCTGGCAAGCTGTGAATATTATGATTAAGTTTATGGCAAACTGTTTTCTTAAAAATAAAGGAAGTAAGTGAAACTATCACACCCAGGTCACCGACTGATTTGTTGTCAATGATAGATTTGTGCTTTCAAGTCGTAAGTAGAATTCTGAAAAAGTTATTATCCCAATACTTAACGAGTTTTTGATGAGCTTCAAGGTGACATTAACAAATGTGACCTTTCAATATGGTACAATGATGTGTGTCAATGTTTGGAAAATATGAATAACTCATTAAGCTTCCATTTTCCAAATGATCAAAGCATGATGTTAAAAATCATACATAGAGTCAGGCCAATGTGGCTCAGTGGTTGAGTGTCAATCTATGAGCCAGGAAATCACAGTTCGGTTCCCAGTCAGGGCACATGCCTGGGTTGCGGGCTCGATCACAGTGGGGGACATGCAGGAGGCAGCCGATCAATGATTCTCTCTCATCATTGACGTTTCTATCTCTCTCTCCCTCTTCCTTCCTCTCTGAAATCAATGAAAATAAATATATTTTTTAAAAATCATGCATATGTATTATAAAAGGTCCACTCAAAGTGCAAGCTAGAGAAGTTGATTTTAATTTATAAGAGTATGGAAAGTTTGTTGATATGTTTTCCAATTTCACATGCAACTAACCTTTAAAGAACTACCACCTTCAGAAAATATATTTGTGTATTTCGATGGATGTTGTGTGTGTGTGTTTTGTTTTGTTTTTGCATGTTACAGAATTTCCTTCTTTTAAAGGTTGAATAGCATTGTTTTGTATGCATATACATTTTTTTATCCACTAAACTGTCAATGGGCTCATAGGTGTCTCTGTACCTTGGTTTTTTTGAATAAACATAGGAGGGCTAATATGTTTTTGTGATCCTGATTTCAATTATTTTGGATAAATGTCCAGATGTGGGATTACTGGATCACATAGTAGTTCTACTTTTAATTTTGCAATAATAGAAATGAAATTTGATGATGTAATACTAATTTAAATAAGCCACTCATTGAGCGATTTCACTTATATGAGGTATCTAAAGTAGTCAAATTCATATAATCAGAAAGTGGAATAGTGGTTGCCAGGGGCTGGGAAGAAAGAAATGAGTCAAGCATAAAGTATTAGTCAAACAAGATGAATACGCTCTAGAGATGTACTGTTACAACCTTGTACTTACAGTCAACATAACATTCTGAACACAAAAAATTATTAACAGTGTACATCTCATGCTACATGTTCTTAACACAATTAAGATGAATTATATGTTAAAAGGTTTGTAAATCAGAGCAAAATAATCTGAAAGAAAATTTTTCCACCAATTTGTGCTGAAATGAGGATTTTAATTTATTGAAATATTACCTCTACTTATATTCCTAGTGGACCATTGCCAAAGAATAAGAATTTTTTCCTTTGTTTTCTCAAGTATGCAAACAAACCTTTTCAAAAAAAATTTTTTTTTATTTTTGTCAAAATTAGAAAGTAATTAAATGAGAATAAAAAGTTAAAGAAATTTTTAAAGTTTTCAGTCTAAGCCACAGACAAATAGCTTATACAGTCTTTGCTTATAGCTCATGTCACTACAGTAGCCCTCTCTGATGATCATATAAAATACTTATCCTCCAATAAGTTGATCGTCACCCTTTCCTCTTTATTTTCCCTATAAAACTT